TCTCCCTTATCCTTGGCTGTGGTCTATGACACAGTCTTAGCCAAAGCAAGAGTGAAAGTGAACCTGACCCCCTAAACTTCCCAAGTACCCACCTCCATTCACTTGACCCTTCTGTGGCTGAACAGTGATGCCTGGAGTAATTTAAAAAGCCATGTGTTGACCAGTGGGGCGCCTACTTCAGCTGAGTCCCTCAGTAACTGTGAGGGACAGAGCACTCACCCACTCCCGTAGACCTCACACCATCATGTAAGAAAGAAAGAAATTGTTGGTATGTTTATGCAATTCTATTATGTTGGGAACCATTATTATAGCACTTAGTCCACACAGGATCTAAATTAAAATATGAGTCAACAGCTAAAAAATTCAATTTTTAAACTCTTTTTTTAAAGATTTATTATTTTTTTAAATTATATGCATGTGTATGTGTTTCTGTGTTTATGTGTTTGTATGTATGTGCATGTGATTACAAGTGCCCTTGGAGACCAGAGTCATCAGATCTCCCTAGAACTGGAGTTATAGGCACTGTGAGCCACCTGACACTGGACCTGAACTCCAGTCCTCTGGGCAAGCACTATGCACCCCCAGCGGCTGAGCCATCTCCCTGGCCCACACTCTAATTTTTAAAAGAGATACTGCAAAGGAATTTATGCCAATGGCTACAGACATCTGAAAAGATGCTCAGCACTTCTAGTCATCAGAGCAATGCAAATTAAAAATCACAGAAAGTAACAATTAAATTAAAGACTGTCAGCACCAAAAGTTGGTAGGAAGCAACTGGAACATTCATATGCTGTTGATAGAAGTGTAAAATGGTACAACCACCTTGGAAGAGAGCTGGGCAGTATCTCCTAAAGCATCATTGACCCTGTGACTCAGTAAACCCACTCTTAAGCATTTTGTTTGTTCTTAAGACAGGGTGTTGCCATGCTCAGGTTGTCCTCAAACTGGTGATGGTCTCTTGCCTCTACCTCCCTAGTACTGGGATCAGAGGTATGTGCCAGTGTATCTGGCTAGGTATTTTCTAAGAAAAATGAAAGCATGGGTACACAAGACAACTGGCGGAAAATTTTCCATATAAATTTTTCACAGTAGACCCAAACTAGAAATAGTCTAGAACCGCATAAACAAATGGTGGTCTAGTCATTTAACAAAGCATTACATAGCTTAGAAAGAATTTCTGATACATAGCACAGCATGAACAATCATAAAGCATTCTTGCTGAATGAAAAAACCTTTATATAAAAAGTCCATAAATTGGGGCTGGAGAGATGACTCAGCAGTTAAGAACACTGGTTGTCCTTGCAGAAGACCTGGGTTCGAATCCCAGCACCCACATGGCAGCTAAAAACTATCTGAGAAAAGAAAAAGTAAAAACTAGGGGCTGGAGAGCTAGTTCAGTGGTTAAGAGCAGTGGCTTTTCTTGCAGAGGAACTGGATTTGAATCCCAGCACCCACATGGCTGCTAACAACTGTAACTCCAGTCCCAGGGGATCCCAAAGCCTCTTCTGTCCTCAGGCATTGTGCAACACAGGTGCACTTACCTACATGCAGGCAATACATGCATATATATAAAATAAAAATAATAAAATGTTTTTAAAAGTCCATAAATCAATGATTTTAAAAATATTTTATTATTTTTATATGTATAAGTGTATTGCCTACATGTATCTAAGTGCACCCATGTTGAGCAATGCCCATGGAGGTCAGAAGAGGGTGAAGGATCCCCTGGAACTGGAGTTACCGACAGTTGCTAGCCACCATATTGGTGCTGGGAATCAAACCCAGATCCTCTACAAGAGCAGCCCCCCTGATCTTAACTGCTTAGCAGCCCCATCTCTCCAGCACCCACAAATCAATAGTTTTAAAAGCTCAAAACAATGGTTTTGGGGGCTTAAGGAATTTTCAGGGAATGACTAGCGAACATAATTTCCAGGGTGATGATAACTTTGTATATATTTTTAAAGGACAGGACCCTCCCTTTTTTGGTATTTTTACATATGTGTGTGCATGCATTACTGTGTGTGAATACAGGCCTAGGCATAACATGGTGCATGTGTGGAGGACCAAGGACAATCTCAGATGCCAGTTCTCACCCTCCACCTTGTTTAAGACAGAGCCTCTTCAGTGCATCTGGTCCATACATGTTATAGCGCGTGAAACAGAACAAAACCACAAAGTGTATTAAGTCTCTAGCTCTAAGCCAGACCAATAGTAAGTGCTTATAAACAGTATGAAATGATGTTATGGCTTTGATGGTTGCTGTGGTGGATTTAATGATATGACTTCTAATCCTTTCAATCCATAAAAATCAAATTTTAAGTTAAAAAAAAAAAAAGACAGGGCCTCTTGGTGGGTTTGTTTTTTGGGGTTTTTTTTGTTTGTTTGTTTGTTTTCGTTTTTTTCTACCCAGGTTAGCTGGGCTTCACACTTCTAAAGCTGCTCCTGTCTCTGCCTCCCATCTCCCTACAGGAACACTGGAGTTATGAAGGTATACACTACAACATTCGGCTGTATATGAGTTCTGGGGATTGGAACTCAGGTTCTCCTGTTTGTGCAGCCGTCTCTCCAGCTCAACCTTGTATATCTAGATAAGCATTTAGGATTCACTGATATATGTATTTATTAAACTTCATGGAAGAGAACACATAATATTTACATATTCCACTGTATGTAAATATCACCTTAAAGCATATATGCACACTAGACTCTCCATTCGCAACCCTGTGGTGTTCAGGCATAAAGTATAATGATGAGAAGACACACTAAAAAAAATCCAGACACACTGAATGGATAAAGGGATGGGTAGATGGAGAATCTGACAGAAAAGGTACATAGCAAAGTGTTAATTACAGAATACAGATGGAAGCTATATAGGTCTATGTACTACATAGATTTTTTTCAACTTTTCTGAATGCTTGACACTTTTCCACAACCAAGTATTTGAAATTTATACAGGCTATATGGTATATGCTAGGTCCCTTTCAGAGAGTAGAGGGATCCCGCCCCCCCCCAAAAAAATAAGCAATGTGTATTCAAAGTAGCACAAATTGAGGCACGAGACATCAACAATAACCTCCAATCCAGCGATATACAGAGAGCATGAGATGCAGTGGGCGGGCAGAGAAGATAGTGATATTTCTACTGAGTCCCCCGTCCCCCACCTGTAGCCTCACATAAAGGCCAGCTGTATTTCCCCTGGGAGACTATACAAGGGAAATCAACAGCAGAGATGTAATGATTCAGCAACAGTTAATGACTGCCCCGAACAAGGAAGCAAGCTAGTCTCAGAATAAACAGGTCATCCTTTAAAAATAAGTATATTTTATTTTATAAAAATCTCACTATGCTACCCATATTTTTTTCACTTCACCAAGTATCTATGACAGTTTAACAACCACAAGGTATACAACAGGTCCTGGCTCTGAAAAGCTCAGTTCTAATCTTGACTCCACAACCAACTGGCTGCATGTCCTTGATTATGATTCTGCCTCCCTGGTTTACTTTATGAACTCATGAAAAACTGAACTGAGCTAGTTGTAAATAACAAGGATGAGACCAAGATCTTAGAGAATACTTAGAGAATAGAATTTTCACAAATGCAATCCATGAACACTTGGCACCTATCCCCTAGTTCATGAACGTAAGCATGGTTTGAGAAAGGGAAAGGTAAAGAATCTAGTTCCAGTTCTCTCTTGTACTTCTCTCTTTTTCTCTCTCTCTCTCTCTCTCTCTCTCTCTCTCTCTCTCTCTCTCTCTCTCTCTGAAGAATCTAGTTCCAGTTCTATGTAGTTCCAGTTCTCTCCTCTCTCTCTCTCTCTCTCTCTCTCTCTCTCTCTCTCTCTCTCTCTCTCATATAAACCAGCAGCCATAGGACCTGGTCATGACACTGGTCCATCTGCCAAAAGAATACTGACCAGATGCAGTTTCATCTGCTCCAAAGATTCCCTTTCAGACTCCTCACTCCTGGGCTCAGAACAGGAAATGTCTTCACCAAATCTGAGCTGAAATACCCCTTATGTTTAAAAGACACTGTTCTGGGCTGGAGAGATGGCTCAGTGGTTAAGAACACTGCTCTTGCAGAGGACCAGGGTTCAATTCCCAGCACCCACATGGCAGCTAACAACTGTCCATAACTCCAGTTCTGGGGAATCCAACACCCTCTTCTGATTTCCACGGGCACTGCACAACATGGGTGCACTTACATACATTCACACACATAATATAAAAATAATAAATAAAAATATTAAAAATAAAAGACACTGTTCACATGTCACCTGTTTGGGGAAACCTTGCTGGCAACACTCCCCAGCTAGCCTGTATCAGATGGGAATCATCAGTTTATGTGTCTTGTCTCCCAAGCTTGACTCTGAACTTCTCAAGGGTGTGGTCTTACTTCATGGGAATTTGGACACCTTGCCCATGACTGTGTTCAATTGGCACATGCAGGCACTCAAGTACTGAGAATCAAAGCAATGATTACTCCCTAATGTTACTGCCAGCTCTAAAATGCCTGGTCCAATGCTTCCAAGTGTCATTCAAGTAAAATTCAAGTACAAATTTTATTTTATTTCACCGTTGAATGTTGTGCATGCAGCACATGTCACCGTGAATGCTGCTGGGGTGGCACCTCCCAAACACCGAGGCGTGCGGATCTGATTCCAGGAAGACACAGCTGGAGCCTACTCCCACTTCCTAGCTTACTGCTACAAGCTCTCTGCCTCTTTCCCCAGGAGGCTCTGAGCCTCCCTCAAGCTGTGACCTCTGTCCCAGCTGGCACAAGTGCCAAACAGAGCCAACCACCCGAGCCCTGCCGCCGGCGACAAGTCCTGCAGGCCCGCAGCGATCCCCTGCTCTGCGGAATGGAACAGTCCATGGGACAAGCATTCCTCCCGCTCCGCGCGCGGATGGTGGTGCAGCCCCAGCGCAGGCCACCCGGGGGACGCTGGCGCCGTTACTCGCCACCGCCCACGCTCTCCGTGGGGCTCCGGAGCACAGGGTACCTGCGAGGCCCGTTGCTCCTTCCACCGCTTCATCTGGTCGCTGGCTGGGTCCCGGCTGTCCGCCATGGTGTGGACTCTGGAACTGCGGAGCTCAAGCAGGCAGGTGAGCGGGCGGGCAGGGAGTGTGGTCTCCACCCCAGCAAGAGATCTAGTCTGCCCTGGCGGCGGCAGTGGGTGACTTCAGGCTCCGCCAAACAGCACCGCCCCCCCACCCTCCGGAAGGCCGCCTTCTGATTGGCCGGTGGAGAGCTAGGAGGAACAGGATTGGAAGTCTGGTGGTGTGAAAAGAGGGGACTCCTAGAGGTGGGTGGGCAGACGGGAAGCGGGGGTGGGGACCAGAGGGCACCCTGGTTACCCAACAGGTGCTCTTAGTGCTGAGAGTCACAAGTCCTGGGTTGAGTTCCTCTGTGCAAAATTGTCATACACTAATACAAGCATAGTTTGCTATCCATCGATGGTTTCTTTATTTTCCTTCTGTTTTATTCATGGGTTATCCCTTACCAAGCTGATATACCAGTAGTTTACTATAAAAAACACTGGAATAGTTTGTCTTACTACAAATAGGTGCGGATATCCTCCTCTTTGAGAAGGAAACAACTGAGATGAATTGACGTGTGACAGCTCACTAAGCCAAACTGGCCTCTAAACAACTGCCGTGACAGGCTTCCTCCATTTTCCCCCTTGACAAAGAAGAATTATGAAAAGCTCTTTGTCTTTAGAAAGTATATGTAGGGGTTGGGGTGTGACTCAGTCGGTAGAGTGCTTGCCTAGCATGCATGAAGCCCTGGGTTCAATCCTCAGATCCCTATAACCCTGGCACAGTGGCACATGCCTTGTAAGCCCCAGCACTCCAAAGGCAGAGGAAAGAGGATCTGCCTCCCAAGTACTGGGACTAAAGGAGTGTACCACCAGGCCCAACTGTATTTTTTTGTTTTTAATGTGTATGAGTGTATTGCCTGCATGTAAGTGCACCCGGGTCATGCAGTGCCCATGGAGATCAAAAGAGGGCATTGGATCCCCTGGAACTGGAGTTATAGACAGTTGTTAGCTGCCATGTGGGTAATGGGATTCAAACCCGGGTCCTCTGTAAAAGCAGACAGTATTCTTAACCACTGAGCCATCTCTCTGGCCCATGCTGACTATTTTCTTTACCTCAGTTGCTAGGATTTATCGCTAAACATCTTGATACAAATACAAATATGCTATCACCTTCAAATTAAAGTATCTCGCCTTTTACCCTTGATTACAGATTATGAATCTGGTTGAGGAAATTTCAGCTCTTGTTATTGACTTTACAAAAGAATCACAGTAGTAAAAGATTAACTTTTTCAGTTCCTTGGGAAAACAGCTCACAAACTGACCTTATCCTCCTATATTTTTCCTATATTGTACTTAACACAATTGTAAAAATGCCATTAGCTGTGCAACTTGCTTGGTGTCTTCTGCTCCCCACCCATCCATGCTACCCCTAGACTGTGGAACCCATGAGAGCAGACTGTCACATCTAAAATTCCAGGAGCCAGCAAGATAGCTCAGTGAGTAAAATCACCTGCCACCAAGCCTGATGATCCTAGTTTAATCCCCAGGCCCCACATGGTGGAAAGAGAGAACCAGCTCCCTGAAAGCTGTTGTTCTCTCGTGTGCACACGCATACCCACTAAATAAATGAATAAATAGTAATAAAATTGCATAAAAATTGGAATTCCTTGAGTACTTACTATGTGTCACGGACTATTCAAAGTTTTTTATTATATTTTCTTAGTTATATATTAATATTGTCCTCTTTATATAAATTGAGAAACTGAAGTATAGAGGGTTAAGTAAAGAACTTTCCCCAAATCACATAGTTACTAAGGGACAGAATCATGATTCCAGCCATGTTCACTCATCTCCAGAATCTGTAGATTGTTGAATAAGTCAGTGTTGAGAAAGTCAAGACAGACCTTTTCTCATTTAGCTAGAATATACATGAACAAAGCAAATAAAAGACCTAAGTCAGATGTTCACCTTCCTTCTTTGAACATTGTCTTGTTTGGGTCTCTCTCTCTTCTCTCTCTCTCTCTCTCTCTCTCTCTCTCTCTCTCTCTTTCTCATTCTCTCTCTCACTCTCTCGCTCTTGCTCTCGCTCTCACTCTCTCTCTCATTTCTGTTGCCTTGGATTCCAAAGGAGTTATTTCTAGAGAAAAAAGAATAGAGAAGCAAGCCTGATTCTGATCTTGTTGGGTCTTGCATTTTAAAACAAGGCATGTGCTTACAGCAAAGACAAAGAAATTATTCTGGTTTATGTAAGCAGAATTCCTGCTCATTGTCTTTAGGATAATTTGATAATAGTTTAGGTGGAAACACCTCTAAAAATATACCCTTGCTTAAAAGTACTTGAAACTTGATCTGATTCCTCAAAGTAATTCCAAGCCATATATTCAGCAAACCAACGTGTCCCGGTTTTAATGTTTTATTCATATAAGCATGAGGTTTTGTTGGTATTGGATAAAGTTGCTATTTAGGAAATGCTGTTCTCTGATTGTTCCAAACCCAATGAAGTAAAAGATAATGGCACAAAACACAGTGCTATTAATCCTGATATCACTAAACCTAAAACCCAGATTAAATGGTCAGGAGGAAAGCATGGGCACTTGACTAGGGATCTCTACAGAGTAATTTTCTTTCCTCAATAGTGGAAGCAAAGAAGGGAGAGAATGGACTGCATGTCTCAGGGGATGATGGGAGTACCAAGCCTCAGGGGCAGTTACAGAAGCCAGGGTAATTATTCGTTTATATTTCGAGTCCATCAGTCTTTGAGACTCTTCTACACATTTCTATTCAATTTTTTTCACTGTGGTTCTAAGAGGTAAACAAGGGGGTAAGTGGAGAGGAGGAAAAATAACACAATAGAAAAGAGAGGTGTTGTGATTTACAATGAGCCTTGGGCTATAAGGGGAGGGAATGAACACCTCCACATCTCTGAGGTCCCAACCCACTGTGGATCAGGCCTGAGCAGGCAAGAGAAGGCAAAATTCCATTAATAAACAAACTAATTTCTAGGTGGCAGTAATATGTGGCCTGAGCTCTACTTCACCAAGTCCTTCCTGATTCAGTAACTCAGAAAGAGGCAGCCCAGATGTGCCTTAGTATGTAGTTGTGGCCATAATTCCTGAGAGGGGAAAAATCCACATACCCTTTCTCCCCGCTCCTCGGGTGTCATTTTAATCTTAGTGTTGGAGAAAAGGGACACACAGAGACAAGAATTGGAATTGGTTTTGGAAGGCCTCCTCCTCTTCCTCCTCTCCCTCCTTTCTTACCTTGTAAGCAACGTATACTTGCTAGTGGAGGCTTTGAAATTGCAGACTAATATATCAATCATTCATAGATGGTAATACACATCCTTCTTACAATGTTTCCTCTTTTACATGTGCATAAGGATGAGAAAGAGGCTTAAAATGGGTGATGTAGACTATACAGTCATGCTTTCCTATTTTTTTATTTTTATTTTTTTATTTTTTGGTAAGAAAGATTCCCATGTGCTCTGGCTGACCTCAAATTTATTATGTGTCAAAGACAACATTGGACTTCTGATCCTCATGACTCCACCTCCCCAGTGATGGGGATTGTAATCACATGCCACCATGCTTGGTTTATATGTTGCTGGAGATGTAGTCCAGAGCTCTGTGCGTGCTGGGCAAGCGCTCTCCTGACCGAGCTACGTCCCCAGCCTCATGTCCTACCTGTCTCATTCAGCATTCTAGGATGAAATTTTCCCAAGTCATTTTTATGCCTTCCAAAAATGTGATTCTGCCCTCTCCCTCATGGTTGCACAATTTGCAGAGTTTATTTCTAGTCCCTTACAGTGACCATTAATTATTTTCTACTGTAATGATAGGGCTACTTCTTTTCTTTGCATTTACAGTTATTTCTTTAGGGTCCATTTTGAGAAGTTGTTTTTGGTAATCCTTTGAACATGGCAAGTCTCCTGCAACATTTTCTTGGTGGTTCTCTGTAACACATGGGCCAGTTTATACTCTCATTGGCTCTCGGTGCGGGTTGGTATAAAAATTTAAAAATGAGTAGGTGGATTCTAAATCTTTCTACATTACAAATTTTATTAGATATTTCAGCATCTAACCAAGGTAGTGGCACATACCTATAATCCCGGTACTTAGGTGGTAGAGGCAAGAGGATTAGGAGTTCAAGGGTTCGTGAGTTCCAAGTCAACCTGGGCTACATGAGACCCTGTCTCAAACAATAAAAAAGAATATTTTTAAAAAGAGTCTAGGGGCTGGAGTGTTGGGTCAGGGGTTAAGAGCACTGGCTGCTCTTGCAGAGGACCTGGGTTTGATTCCCAGCACCCACATGGCTGCTAACAACTGTCAGTAACTCTAGTTCCATGGGAACTCGATGCCCTCTTCTGACCTCTGTGGGCATTGCATGACACAGGTGTGCTTTCATACATGCAGGCAATACACTCATACACATAAAATAAAAATAAAAAATAATATATTAAACAGAATCCAATAGAGTTATATATTTTGTTGACTCTTATGAAGGGAGAATTCCTCTCACATTATGCTCAGCCATCACCACAACCAGGCAGAACTCACTTACCCCTGGGCTTCTGTCAGCCAGGTTCCTGGGGTACAGCAGTGAAGGAAATGATGTGGGCACATAGCAAGGCAGTGATAGCCTGAAGGAGGCTGAGGAACAAGAAACATGGCTGCCATAGGAATACCGAGGCCACCAGCCTGAACATGAGAGGACACAGATGGCTCCCTGGGGAAGAAGCTGGTGTCTGAATCACGAAGAATAAGCAGGTATTGAGGTACAGTGCCAAGAACAAGGATTATGATTCACTCATCATCACAGAGCTCTGAAGTGATTTCTTCCATTTTTCCATGAAAGTCATTGTGATGTCTAGAACAGGACTGGGTGAGCAAGCAAACATTTATAACTGGGGTTAAACCTTTTCCATACTGACCTCTGTGTTTAACTTCGGCTTTGACACCTGCTGCTTGGTCACTTTCCCTCCTTGAAGCTGCCATCCATCCTGCAAGGCCTGTGTGAACCAGTCATGTTTAACAGCGGGAATGATGTGCCTGTCTTAGAGTTCTGTCCCAGTGCCCCTGTCTCTGGGATGTTTTGATTGGCTCTCTTGTATGTGCTATGAAGCATGATACCTGTGTTTGGCCCTGGGCTGAACTCTGGATGCAGAAACCAGATATGGGTTCTTGTACTCTGACAATTTCAAACATGACAAAACTTCACTGGCAAGTCAACACATTCAGTACAGGCTGAGAGGGCTGAGTATAACTCAGTGGGAGATTATTTCCCTAGCATATGCAGGTCCTGGATTCAAACCCCAGTATTGAGTGTAGATGGGGTACAGAGTGAGCCCAGGGCATCTATGGACACATGAATGGTTATAAAAACATGTTGAAGGTCGGTCACAGTTGGCATAATTGTCTACAGGGAAAGAAACTGATATCTCCCTTCTTTCATTTCTATAAACCCAATTATAGACCAACAGAGCTTCAAGAAGTAAACTAGCAGGAACCTGGCTAAAGGTCCCAGCACTGACTTCAGAGCACTTGGTATTGAATCTTACCATGTCCACTTACAGTTATAAAAACATGTTGAAGGTCGGTCACAGTTGGCATAATTGTCTACAGGGAAAGAAACTGATATCTCCCTTCTTTCATTTCTATAAACCCAATTATAGACCAACAGAGCTTCAAGAAGTAAACTAGCAGGAACCTGGCTAAAGGTCCCAGCACTGACTTCAGAGCACTTGGTATTGAATCTTACCATGTCCACTTACAAAGTTCATGATTTTAGGCAAGTTACAAAAGCGGGGGTGGTGGGGGGGGGGGGAGTTGCATGCAGGTTGCTGTTGGGTGCACCATGACTGCACTTGTGGAGGCCAGAAGAAAACATCAGGTATCTTACTCTATTGCTCCCCACCTTATTCCTTTAACACAGGGGCATCCACTGATCACTGATTGAAGTTCACCATTTGGCTAAGCTGGCTAGCCAACAAGCTCCCAGAGTCTGATTTGCTCTACCTCTCAATGCTGGTGCTATAGGCAAAGGCAATCAGGCCCGACTTTTTATGTGGGTACTGGGGATTTGAACTCAGGACCTCATGCCTGTACAGCAAGCACTCTTACCTACTGAGCAGAACTCTTCAAGTAGGCTAGTCTGGATGGCCAGAAAGCCCCAAAGATCTGTCAGTCAATGCCTCCCTAGCACTGAGATTGCAAACACATGCCACCACACCCAGCTTTTTAAAATGTGAGTTATGGGGGTCATGTTTCCAAGGCAAGCACTTTACCAACTGAGCTAGCTCCTCAGACAAGTTACTTAGTCTGTCTAAGCTCCCATTTCTCTTTTGTAGAGTGGAGATCAAAACACCTTCTGTATTATAACTTAAGCTACTATAACAAAAAGAACAACAAAATAAAATGGCTTAAACATAGTTAACGTTTATTTTTCATACACAAAATATCTCAGACCCAGATAGCGCTGGGCTGGTTAGGCAACTCTGCCATCCTTAACTGGAAATTTCTATCTCGGAGTCCAAGGTCCAGATCACGCGCTCGTAACTGCATGTCAGCCACTGGGAACCAGGTCAAAGGTACTCAGGTCCATTTGTTTTCAGAATCCAACCTGGAAATGTCACACTTCATTTTTGCTTATATCCCATTTCATTAGCCAGAATTTAAGCACATGGATGTCTAGCTATACAGAAAACTGGAACATATATACTCACTCACTGGGTGACCATATGTCTTACAAAACTAAGGCATTTTATTATAAAAGATGTTGGTGGTTAGCCAGCAGCGTCTGCCAAATCGACCTCTTGGAACTATGGAGAAGGTTGAGGAGAAGACACATACAATTAACTGCCAGTTTTCTCAGTTTGATCAGTTTTCATCACAAATGGTCTTTTATAGGCTGCTTCAACTGCTTAGGAAATCCAGCCAACTTCGTGTTGGGGTATCATATTGTAGGTGTACTCTAGTTAAGAGGCTGTGTCTGTTATAACCTAAGCTACTATAGTAGCTTATAGTACTCTCTGACTACTGCATTCATGGCTACAGTGTCACATTGTGATGAGCCATCAGTCTACCAACACAAACCTTCCCATCCCACACAAACAGACTGTAACAAAAATTCATGTTGCTCCCCCTCTTACCAAGCTCTGGGGGGTTTCCACTATTAACCTATCTAATTGTGAATCCTGATGATCTTTACCTCTCAAAGTCACATAGCTAATTAATGATGAGGTCAGGAATCAGACAAGGCAGAGGCTCTGGAGATAAAATCTCAACTCCTACATTCTAAAGACAGGCAGACCTAGGGTGAGCGTCCCACATTCTAAGAATACACCTAAAGCATTGCACCACCTCCTGCCTAGCTAGGACCTGGCTTTGTGGGAAGCCATGTTTTGCATTCACATGATTAAGAAAGACCACAGGAAAATGGCATTCCAGATTCAGTGAAAGAAAGAACAGGAAGTTGCCATGGATGTTTTATTCCACAGCATTGCAGAGCCACTGAGATTGAGAAATAGCCAAAGGGAGTAATAAGAGTGGCCAGAAAAGGCCACTGTAGACAGGGTTCCTCACAGCAGAGACGAAAGGGGAAGGAGCCACTCAGCCACCACCCTTCCCTACAGCAAAGGACAGGCAGGGACTGTACTTCTCAGGTAGTAGAATGACTATTCCCTGAGAAAACATGTCCATTCAGAGACTCCTTTTCCACCAGGCAAGAGGATCCATTGCCCTAGATTACCTTTCTACACCAGTGCTGTTCAGGAAAAGTGAACAAAAACAAATTCAGTCTTGAGACTTTGTGACATGAAGCAACAGTCTCCTAATTGTGCCAAATGTCAAAAGCAATTGCCTCATGAAAACAAAGGTCAATTATGGTGGTTTAAATAAACCAGCATGGGGGCTGGAGAGATGGCTCAGTGGTTAAGAACACTGGTTGTTCTTGCAGAAGACCCGGGTTCAAAACCCAACACACACATGCCTCTGACAGCCTCTTCTGACCTCTGAGGGCATTGCACAATACAGGTGCACTTACCTACATGCAGGCAATACATGCATACACATAAAAATAATAAAAAAATTATTTTAAGTTTAAAAAAAGAGCGAACTTAAAAAAAAATGGCATGATGTCTGCTTTTTACTCTCAAATGGGCCAGTGGAAACGTGAATGTATATGACTGTGCACATACAAAGATAGCAAGCAAATGTTTATCAAAAAATCTGGTCAAAGGTAAACAGGAGTTACTTGTATTGTTTTTGTAACTTTTGGCAAGTATTAGAGCAAAGTAAAAATTTACCCTAAAATTGTAAATATATTCCTTGAGAAGATCACCTGCAAGCGTTTTCCTCAACTAATACCTTAATGGTAAATTATTCAGCTTCAGACTTAGAGACAGAATGGGGCCCAAATTATACCACATATGGGGCAAAGTTTGAAGAGCAAGGGAGAAGAAAGGTAAAGAGGAAGTAGAATCCCAACTCACCTGCATCACATCTGATGTTGGATCTAATGAGTTTTCATAGGAACAAGTTAAGACAAAGATAAAACTAAAAACTCAGGACGATACAAACACAAGCAAGCAAGCCATACAGAAACATAGCCTTATGATTTATGATAGTGCGTGTGTTAATACTTATAAGACACTATGGTTCTCTGACAATAAGTACTATAAGTTCACCCTATATTATTATCTTGAGGTAAAAAATTACTTGACAATGAACATATGTTTACTGTATAGTTATTTGTTTAGTAAAAGTCAGCCATTATCTTCCAAATAGGGCTTGATTTTAAGGCCACCTTTGGTGGTGTTTAGGACATGTGCCTATCTTTCTGTAGGCTCACACTGTTAGACTTGGAGATTATTCTGTATGTTGTTCTATGTACAGAAACCCTGAGAACACAAATCTTGACGCCTGAAGTTGACTGTACGCAGGAAAGATACCCTGCCTTGCACCAACACGCATTTCTCAAACATTCTGTGCTCCTGTTATCCAAGTGTCTATAGTAATAATCAATCATGGAATAAACCTTGAGTAAAGTATGATGATGCCAGAAAGGACCTGGGGCCACTGAAGCCCATGACAAACAGAAGGTGCCCCCAAACACCAGCCACCGAGACTCTTATGTGCCATACTGAACCCCACAGAAAGCATTATGGTTAGAAGCATGACTCAGCAGTGCTGACCAGAGGCTACAGGAACCTGAAAGCCGACATGGGCACATGGTCAAAAGCCTTGCACTGGGCAGACATGGAGGAATTGTGAGGTTGAAACAGGAAAGGCATATGCTCTCCTATTACATCCCTTGTATCACCCACTCCAACATAAATTCCTATGGCCTAAAGAAAACATCAGAAATATTAGATAACGTAAAAAACAACAGTCTGTTAGCCCATAAACTGCAAAATCAAAGCCAGAGTTCTCTTTATTCATTGCCTCTCGTTTAAGAGGCATGTTTTAAAATATAGAAACAGGAGGAGGAGGAGGAAAGGGGAGGGGTGAAGGAGGAAGGGGACAAAGAGGGGGAGAAGGAAGAGGGGAAAGAGGAAGAGGAGGGGGTGGAAAAAATTAAGAGTGGAAACATGTTGAAGAGCCTTATCTACGCCATGCCAGATGGCCCAAACCCTTCACTCCCAGCCATTACCCACCCTTTCGATCTGTGAATGCTGTACCTAGGAAATGACAAACAGATGGTAACACCGCCACTGTCACCAAGCTTTGTGCACATACTCCTTTCTTCCAAAGCACTAGAAGTTTGTGACTGTGGAGCCAGGAAGACCGAATCATAATTAAGTACAGATGCACAATATTTTACACTATTTGGATTTAAAAGGCACCCTGGTAATAGAAACCAGTGTCTCCCTGGGAGACACCCAGTCTCATAGCTGAGCAGCGGTCAAAGTGAATTGTGAGGGCCTGGCCAGAAAGCTTAGTAGGAAACTGGAGAGACACTGGCAAGTTGATGGCAATTATAGAATTAGTCGCATCAGTTTATAAAGAGGAGGGGGAAGGAGAATGGAGGAGGAGAATGGAGAAGGAGACAGGATGAGGGGGGAGGGGAGGGAAGGGGGAGGGGGAGAAGGGGAGAAAGAGGAGGATCCACAATAAGAAGTAGCAAAGACTTGGAGAAATATTGACCAAGACTAGATCCCAGCTCTGAAATGCTGAGGAAGGCACTGTGTGAGTAGTACTAGGAGGGAATGTGCTAAGTACAAGCAAAGTCCAGGGAACAGTGGAGAAAGCAAGGCTGAAATAGCTTCCAGAAGCAGCACAGCTCTCCAAGGGAGGAAGAGGGCCTTGCTTTAAGAGATCATTCTGCTCTACTAGAAAAGTGGGGCTTGGGGGCTAGAGAGACAGTTCAGCAGGTAAGAGCACTGACTGCTCTGGCAGAGAACACGGATTCGATTCCCAGCTCCCACATGGTGGTTAACAATCATCTGTAACTCCAATTCCAGGGAACCCGGTACCTTCTTCTGACTGCCTTAGGCACTGCATGACAAGGGTGCACTTGCACACATGTAGGCAATACACTCAGACACATAAAATAAAAATTAAAAAGAAAATAAAAAAGAAGAGTGGGGAGGGCTAGAGAGATGGCTCAGTGGTTAAGAACACCAGTTATTCTTGCAAAAGACCTGGGTTTGAATCCCAGCACCCACATGGCAGCTAACAATTGTCTGTAACTCCAATCCCAGGGATCTGCCAGCCTCTTCTGACCTCCGCCGGCATTGCAGAACATGGGTGCACTTACCTACATGCAAGCAATACGTGAATACACATAAAAATAACTACAATTTTTTTTTAAAGTGGGGTTTTGAGTGTCAAGAGAAAAAAGGAGAAATACATCCACTTAGAGTAAGTTACCTAGGAAGTAGGGAATACCAAAACTGAACACTGTGCTGCACCATTACCTTTTCTAAGGAGTGTCAGTTGGTTGGAACCATGTACTTGGAGTTTTGCTAAAAACTTTAAATCTAACTGAAAACTTGTTTCCTGACCACTGAACCATAAGACCTGCTTTGACGAACATACAACCCTGTGGACTCCTTCCTTCCTAGCCAACATGTTAAGGTTTTTTGTTCATTAGTTAGTTTGTTCCTTTGGTTGGGTTGGTTGGTTTGGTTTGATTTGGCTTTGGATTTTTTTTTTTTTCTTTTTTTGGTCTTTTTGAAACAGGGTCTCCCTGTAGCACCAGGTGGCCTGGAACTCACTGTGTAGATCAGGCTGGCCTCGAACTCAGTGAGATCTGCCTGCCTCTGCCTCCCAAGTGCTGGGATTAAAGGCATGCACCACCACATCTGGCCTAAGGTGTTTTTTGTTTTGCTTTGTTTTGTCTTGAGGTGCTGGGGATAGAACCCAAGGTCTTTTTTTTTTTCTTATTGTTGTTCTTTTAAACATTTTTTAAATATTTTATTATTTTTATTTTTCATATGTATGAGTATATTACCTATAAGTGTGTAAGTGCAGAGGGTGTTGGATTCCCTGGAACTAGAGTTTGCTGCCATGTGGGTACTGGGAATGGAGCCCAGGTGCTCTGCAAGAACAGTCAGTGCACTTAACCAATGAACCATTTCTCCAGCCCGGGTACTAGGCAAGTACTCTACCACTCAGCTTTATCCTCAGCCCTCACAGTGCTAGTTTTTAATTCTTCAATTCTTTAATTTGTAACTGTTAAGCCTTGATGTTTTTCCCCTTCAGCAAAACTACTTAGTTTCTTCTCTAAGATGCATTCCAATGCCTGGTGAGTTAAGAAAACAAACTTGAAGTGCAATGAAAGGTAAGGATCAACTCTAAAGGTCCTACAGCCCC